GGGAAGAGTGGTGACAATGCTTCGAGACAACACATAAATTATGCTAATACCTCCGAGGCAGACTCCTAGCACTCAAAGTCAAATGTCGTGATGCCAGCTGGTGAAAATGAATCGAGGCATTTCTGTAAAAATAAAGCAGTTAGAGGCTTATATGAGAGAGTACGGAGAAAATAACACAAAAGATCTGCCTGTAAAAGCCAGAATTATTAGCCATAAACATATAAACATTTAAAACATCCAGGTTAGTGGCCCTCCAGGACCAGGACTGGACACCACACACCTAGACAGTCTGAATCAAGACGCTGTTCACTTTTTAAAATTTCTCTTATTCAGGCCAAATCTTTGCTGAGTTGTGTTCTTCTACTGTAGCTGTCACAGCTTCAGGTGCAGCTGCCTAAGGTTGTTAGTGTGCTAACTTCTAACAGAACCATGTCAGGGACTTCACACCTAAAGTACACAATTCACATCGCTCAGCAGAATCCAAGAGCAAAGGTGAATCCCAGTTCAGCATGTCCTTCCAACCTTTAGCTCCATGAATACTGAACTTAAAATATAAAACTTCACACATCGGTCAGCGGGATGTAGAGTTGGTTTCTGATGTATAAAGTTCATTTTCTTTACAAAGCAGAAAAACTACAACGAGACCATAGAAATAACGCCTATAACATAGAAACCACACAAACCACATCTGGACTATAAAAAAGCCACACCTGAACAAGAGAAACTACATCTGAACCATAGAAACTACATCTGAACCATAGAAACTATATCTGAACCATAGAAACTATATCTGAACCAGAGAAACCACACCTGAACCATAGAAAGTACATCTGAACCATAGAAACTATATCTGAACCATAGAAACCACACCTGAACCATAGAAACCACACCTGAACCATAGAAAGTACATCTGAACCATAGAAACTATATCTGAACCATAGGGTGTATTCAGACCAGGAAAGTCTTTTGGTCCACTTGTTTGGTCCGGACCAAAAGTGGACTTTATTTTTTTTCGTTTGGTGCAGTTTGCATTCACATTGTGCTTTTTTGCAAAAGAACTATAAGTTGTAAACAAAGCCTTGAGGCTGACGATCATTGCTCCCACTGGACAAAAAAGGACAGGGGCGGGACTGAGCCACAGACCCAGAAGAAAACAAGGAAGTCCTGCATGCTCCGGTTCTGATGCACACATTTATGCTGATAATAAAACTGCAATAGCATTTAAAATGTCAGAAGCAGCTAATTTAATGGTGGTTTCGTGATGATATTCTAATTTTGGAGCGACGTCAGTAAATACGTCCCGCAACCCAAAAGAGATGAGGTGCGCTTTGTGTTCTGACCCACTTCATGCTGGCAGCAGAGCTGCTAACAGGAGACAACGAAACAGGTATGATTTCAGTTTATTTAGTTCAGCAACGGTGGCCTGTGAAGTCCAAAAAGGCGCATGTTTAATGCAGTTGGTTCGGTTAGAGTCCGGTCTGTATTCACACCAGAAGCAAACTGAAGCAAACCACACCAGAGTTTGTTTGGAAGCGGACCGAGATCACCTCAAAAAGCAGGTCTCGGTCCGGTTGTTTGATCCACACTAGAGTTCACATGAGTGTATTCACACCTGCACAAAAGGTCCGGACCAACGCTGGAAAAGAACTCTGGTTCGTTTAAAGCAGACCAAATTGTCAGGTCTGAATACGAACATAGAAACCGCACCTGAACTATAGGAACTACAAGTGAACCATAGCAACTATATCTGAACCACAGAAACCACACCTGAACTATAGAAACTACATCTGAACTATGGAAACTACATCTGAACCATAGAAACTACATCTGAACCATAGAAACTCTATCTGAACCATAGAAACCACACCTGAACTTTAGAAACTACATCTGAGCTATAGAAACTACATCTGGACCATATAAACCACACTTGACCTATAGAAACTACATCTGAGCTATATAAACTACACCTGGACCATATAAACCACACTTGACCTATAGAAACTACATCTGAGCTATAGAAACTACACCTGGACCATATAAACCACACTTGACCTATAGAAACTACATCTGAGCTATAGAAACTACACCTGGACCCTATAAACCACATCTGACCTATAGAAACTACATCTGAACTATAGAAACCACACCTGAACCATAGAAACCACACCTAACATATAGAAACTACATCTGAACTATAGAAACTACATCTGAACCAGGGAAACCACACCTGAACTATAGAAACTACAACTGAACCATAGAAACTACATCCGAACCATAGAAACTACATCTGAACCAGAGTAACCACATCTGGTTGTCAAAGCAAACCTTGAAAACCCCCCAAATGGCCCCAAATCAGAACTTTTCATGCATTCCAAGTGACAAATTTATGTGACAGCTGCTGTCAAGGATCTCTCGTTTGAACTTTCATTTTACAAATCAAAGAAATACTGCTGAAAATGTCTGTTAACAAAATATTTCATTAATAAATGCACTGTTTTTTTACTTAAATATAAAAAGTTATAAATCTGTCATTTTCTTGCATATCAAGTAAAATCTGGAAAGTTAGTGGATAAATAAATTCTAACACTTGCTAATCCAAAATCCAAGATGGCTGCCAAAGTCCATATGAAAAAAAAAAGTGAAACTATGTCATATTTACTCACACTGACTTGAAATTTGATATGGTGGTCGCTGACACTGATCTACAATACATAGTAAAGGCAAACAAGGTGGAACTCAACGTCAAAGTGTTGATTGGTATGCCTCCGCCTCCCCTAGACATGACTGCCTTTGAAAAAAATGCCATTTTCATATTACCAGTCATCAGAACCGACCTTGACCTTTGATGCCCAAATCTAATGAGACTGAGTACTACCCTAATGGAGTTACTATACTCATTTATATGTAAATATATGATTTAATTCAGGAGATAAAAAGAGGAGATTGAAAAATTCAAGATGGCTATACAGGTAAAAAGGAAAAATTACCATAATTCATGCATTTTTTTGCCGTATTGAATTGGAATTTGACGTGATGGTAGCTGAAAACATACCCAAACACTTATGAATGCTATTCAAATGTTTAAGCGAACTGCTAAAGTTTAAAAAATCTGACAATTATTCAGCCATTATTAGTCGTACAAAGCTAAAAACTGCACAGTAGTACCTGAGAACAAAATTTAATAACATCTAAATGCTAAACAAAAATTCAAGATGGCTATAAGGTTTTAAGTCTCTCTCTCTCTCTCTGCCTGGATAATTTCAGGCTTTGGTCCAATCTATTGATTTTGGGGTCAAAGGTCAGAGTTAATCCTGCCTGAGAAGGAGTTGATTTTCAGTTTTATCAGGTAAACTGTGGATCAGAGACCTGCAACTGCAGAGAAATGTTTGTTTAGAACAGAAACAAAGCGAGGAGCCGATTGATCCGGCAGCAGCATGTGGCATCGACTCGCTCAGAACCAAACTTTTATCCTTTAAATCACGTCTTCTTCTGCTTTTTGACTCCGACTCTGACCCTGCAACAAGAACTGGACTCTTTAAGTCTCTGATGACCCTCTTAGATGGTCTTACTCCTGCAGACGGCCTCTGCGGGTGTTTCTCCATTCTGAGTTTATATTTGGTAGATTTGTCAGTAAAGCAATAAAACGGGATTTCACAATATTGGATGAGTTTAATATCCTGAGGGGGGAAACTTCCATCAACGGCACCAAATTCAAACGGCAGGAAGTAATAACAATAAAGAGCGATGGTCAGGAAGCTCGTCACCACAACCATCACCATTCTCCCATCATGCATCCTGCTTGTACGGCTGCGGCTCGGGGATGTGAACTGCATCAGAATGATTCATGGAAAGTGTTTCATGCCGAAAAATGAGCCAAACATCAAGTGAAAAAAACCCACAAAAAACAAAGTACCACTTCAGCTGATGATGGATAGGAGGAGAAATGTGGATTAGTGATGTTCCATTCTGAGCACAAATGGGTCATTTAAGCACTTAGCTGATAAAATTAGATTAATTCTAAGTACAATGTGCTCTCTACTTAAAGAATAATGAATGATCCTTTTAAGTTGGGCGTTGATTTTTTTWAAAAAGGAAAATTAATAAAGGTTTGGAAGGGGGGTTCTGCCTCGAGTGGAGGGGTTTAAGTGTTTCAGGGTTTTGTTCATCAGTGAGGGAATGGGGTCTGTTGTGGTTCAGAGGCAGCTGAAATGTCTTACCCTCATCTGAACTCTGAATACTGACTGAAAGAACAAGATCTCAGATCCAGGAGGTCCAAATGAGTCTTCCCTTAGAGTGTCCAGCTGAGAAGTTCAGTTCTCCAGGACAGACTCAGAGTAGAGCTAACTAAAACTAACTAACTAAAAACAGATGAACTGCTTTAATAAAGTAACTCCTGACTTCCACATTACTGGTGTTATTTTTGGATGTAGCAGATATTCCTGTTTATAATTAAATCCTCTGTTAGAGAAGCAAACTATTTCTGTCAGGTAAAATCCAACACAGAATGTTTTATACYCCATTTATCCCTGTTTTCCATATTAATATCTTGGAAATTTCTCTGTCTGAACCCCCCCAATAGCTTACTTCTATATTTTTACAATGTACACAATACTGCAACAAGAAAAACACACAGAAACCCACGAAGTCAGCTTATCAGAGGAAGTTATCCAGTAAACATCTGCTGACAGCACAATGCAGCCACTCAGTGACCTATTAAAACATCTGTCCGGTGCTGATGGGGGTGCAGGATTAGTGCTGGAGCAAACACACRTGCACAGCAGTCGTCCTCCACTCTGCTCCCTCTCAGGAGTTATCAGGAAACACCATCTGAGCGCCGGCAGACAGGTTCAACATAGAACAGGCTGAGCACGTCCCGGTTCTACAGCAGGGCCCGACAACTGCACCTGTCCAGATAACACCCAGGTCTCTGGGGCTGCAACTGTGGTGGGAACACACACAGAACCACAAGACTCCCAGGTTTTATCTGAAACCGAGCTCACCTGCAGATTCCTGAAGACACCTCCCCTGGATTTAATTTTTCAGTGTGTCAGCTGCCAGTTGTCTTCCTTTAAGGTTGGTAGAGTCCTGTGGGAACAACAGCCTCTCCTGGCAAGCCACACACACACACACACACACACACACACACACACACACACACACACACNTCCATCCATCCATCCATCCATCCATCCATCCATCCATCCATCCATCCATCCATCCATCCATCCATCCATCCATCCATCCATCCATCCATCCATCCCCACTTGTTCCTGAAGGAAGAGTCCAGCTCTGCAGAGAAAACTCATTTCGACCGCCTGTTCTCACTATCTGGTTCTTTCGATCTACCCAGAGTTCACAGCCATACGAGGGGAGGAACGTACAGAGATCGCTGTGTCTTGTAGCTCATCTGCCTCTTCATCACAACAGACCGGCATAAAGTCTGCAACACTGCAGAAGCTGCACCAATCCGTCTGTCTATCTCACACTCCGTTCTTCCCTCCCCCATAAACAAAACCTTGAGATACTTGAACTCCACTTAAGGGACGACCTCACTCCCAGTTTTTCCTCGTGTGGTTATTTATATAGAATTTTGTTATTCTTTACAAACAAATTGGAGTAGCCTTTTTCTTGTTAATCAGGTCTAAGATAAACTATTTCTCCAAGCTGAGTTCGGTCAAAGAGTTATTTACAAGTAAGATTTGAATCATTCATGATTTTCTCTACGAACCCAACTTTGAAATATCCAAATCAATCACTAAATTAAAAAAAACGTTCCCCTCACGTTTCACCAACCTTCCATCTCCAGTTAAAACAGAAGTCAGTGGTGATGATGCAAAAATGTTAATGGTGACTGATGGCTTTGAATTAAATATACATCACATAAGTGGCAGGAAGATCCATTACTCTGGCGTCTTGTGGTGGCACTGGCTACATTCCAACAAGTTACGGACATTTGATGATCCTTGAACACAAAGTCCTGATAATGATGGTATTTTATCAGTCTGAATTTAAATTTCTCTGCAGGAAAAATAATCTACATCCTCTCGCTTCTCGTAAACGCACACACACAGGTTGGTTTTTATATCCCCGTGAGGACCGTGGATTGACTTCCATTCATTTTCTGGTAATTTTATAGCCTAACCCTGAACATTTACTCTAAAATTAACCTCACTTGACACAAAAACTAATCTAAACTCAATGCACACCTTGGTCCTACCCCCACCCCCACCCACACACACACACACACACACACACAGAGAGAGAGAGAGAGAGACATTTGATTTTATATCCCCGTGAGGACCGTGGATTGACTTCCATTCATTTTCTGGTAATTTTATATCTTAACCCTGACCATTTACCCTAAAATTAACCTCACAGGTACATACCTGACTCTAAACTTAACCTAAACTCAATGCACATATTGGTCTTAAACCTACCCCCCCCGCCCCACCCAAACTTGGCATCCAGACCTGTGGGGACCGGGCATTGGTCCCCACGAGGCTGCCTTTTTCTGGAAAATGGTTCCCACAATGTAGCAAATAAATGTACACACATAAACACACAAGTTTGTTTTTCTATCCCCATGGGGACTTGGCATTGACTTCCATTATTTTCCAGTCTTTTTTATAGTCTAGCCCAGACCCTTTACCCCCCACCCAAAATCAGCATCCATACCCATGGGGCCCAGGCTTTGGTCCCTATGAGGAGCATTGGGTCCYCAAAATTTGTGTTTTTCTGAAAAATGGTGCCCATGTCAAAAGCATGTCGACACACACACAGACACCAGTGTGTGAGGAGCTGATACTTGCATTGATCTGTGAACTCTGTCCACTCATCTCTACAAACTGTGTCATAAAACCAAGGATTAATCAGCTCCAGGACCTCTGGTCGACATGTGAACTGGTTCTGGGCATTAACAGGTTCCGGGGCTCGGAGATGTGCAGCAAGGCTGCTTATAGACATTTCCAGCCAACGATGAAACATTAATCCTGATAAGGTGCTTTGTGTGTGTATAAACAGCCCCAAATCCACAGAAATCCCAGAGGGAACTAATTATTAAAGAGACGTTGGTTTTATTATCTAACAAGTTAAAACAAAGTGAGATCAGTGAGCAGCTTCTGTTAGCTGCTAACACCACAGATTACAGCCTAATCCACTCAAAAGCTGCAAACTGGAGACGTTAAAAACAACAAACACATATGGAACACTGGAGAAGCCATTCTTATTTTTATCAGATTCATACAGTTAATGAGCTTTAAGCTTTCCATGAACAAACTTTTTAAATAGCAATTTGTTTTTTTTAGTTGTTAATAATTAGTTAAAGGCTCCAAACATTTAAACTGGGGCTGCTCTTTACAATTAGATAAATTAATTGTACAATTAGAAAATAATTAACGTAAATACACAGTATGTGCCAGAGAAAGATCATTCTAGTGACAGATAAAAGGCAGGTGAGAAGGTTTCTGCCTGTCTGGATACAACAATCAGACACTAAGCTAAATGTTGGAGTTGTGGCTGAGAGTCATTTCCAACATGCACAGAGTGCTACACACTGCACAACAGGAATGTTCGAGGGTCAGTCGCCTGTATGTTCTCGATTTGTCCCTGCTCTAACACACCTCATTCAAATACAGGATTTACCTTCTCGGCATGTCAAAGTCTGCAGAGGCCTACTGATTAAGCACGCCTTAGGTTCAGTTGTGTTCAACCAGGACAACATCTAAAACTAAAACCTGCAGCACTTCAGCTCATGAGAACTAACTTTGGACACCACTGCTGTACAAGATCTTAGATTTATCCCTCCTGCAGTCCCTGATACTCTTTGACCCGAGGACTTCTCAGATCATCTCAGGGAGAGTCCAGCTACCCCGCAGAGAAAACATTTAGACATCCTGAATCTGAGATCTGGTTCTTTCAGTCGCTACCAGAGTTCCTGACCACAGGTGAGGGCAGGAACACAAACTGACCAGTAAACTGAGAGCTTCTCCTTACAACTCAGCTCCTCTGAACCACAACAGGCCAGGTCCAGAATACTGGTGAAGCCACACCAAAGATGATCCCGTGGATCTGTAGATCTCCWGCTCCATTCTTCAAAATCCTGAGATATTTAAACTGTCAYCCCCAACATGTAACAGACATCCTGCTTGTTCTACACAATAATGTTAGTTTCAGTCTCTGTKAGTTCAGATCCAATCCACTGTTGTTACTAAACACACATCAGCTGACYGCCAAGCTGGGGCATCTCTCAAACGTGGCAAAACAACATCTACTTAAACTAATGGTGTCCAGTCCTGGTCCTGAAGGACCACTACCCCACGAAACTGCATTCTGGGTTCTTTACCAGGTGATTCTAGGTTCTGACTTTACTTATTTATTTGGGGAGCAGAAAAAGTAGTTATAAAATCTATATATAACAATGTTCTTACCAAAAGAACAAAATATGTTTGAGAAACTATGTAACCAGTTTTCTTACTAAATAAACTACTAATTTCTACAAAGTAGTAAAGTCCTCCTACAGTATAACCCACAAAGTACAGTAAGAGTACCAAAGTAAAAGTCTGATGTAATAATTCCTGTTGTTCTCTCTCTCAAATATTTTACATTTTAAGGATGGATGAATGAAATGATGGTACCCTTAACTTAATATTTTTTGCACAACCTTTTGAGTCAATCACTGCGATGAAATAATTCCTGTAACTGTCAATGAGACTTCTGCACTTCTCAGCAGGTATTCTGGTCCACTCCTCATGAACAAACTGCTTCAGTTGTCTCAGGTTTGAAGTGTGCCTTTTCCAGACAACATGTTTCAGATCCTTCCAAAGATGCTCAACAGGATTTGGGTCAGGTCTCATATAAGCCCAATTCAGAATAGTCAAGTGTTTTCCTCTTAGCAATTCTTGGTGTTTTTAGCTGTTTTGGTTCATTGTCCTGTTGAAGACCCATGACCTGCGACTGAGACCAAGCTTTCTGACATTGGGCAGCACATGCTGTATCTCTCTAGAAACCCTTGATAGTCTTGAGATTTCATTGTACCCTGCACTGATYCAAAACACCATGTGCCAGATGCAGCAAAGCAGTCCCAGAACATAACAGAGCCTYCTCCATGTTTCACATTAGGGACAGTGTTCTGTTCTTAATGTTTCATTTTTCTGTCTGTGAACATAGAGCTGATGTGTCTTATCAAAAAGTTCAGATTTCATTTCATCTGTCCAGAGGACATTGACCCTGAAGCTTTGAGGCTTGTCAACATGTAATTTGGCAAATCTTTTTTATGATTTGGTGTCCTCCTTGGTCATCTCCCATWAAGTCCAGTTTGGCTCGAACAAAGATGGATGGTGTGATCTGACACTGATGTTCCTCGAGCTTGAAGTTCACCTTTAATCTCTTTAGAAGTTTTTCTGGGCTCTTTTGTTACCATTCATATTATCTGTCTCTTTGAGTTGTCATCAGTCCAGGGAGGTTGGCTACAGTCCCACGGAACCTAAATTTCTGAATATGTGCAAGTGTAGTCACAGGAACATCAAGCTGCTTGGAGATTAGTCTTGACAAGGTAGGTGTTTACACCAGATATGGAACTAAAAAGGTCAAAAACATGCACGCACACACGCACGCACGCACACACACACACACACGTTTGTTCTTGAAACCCATGGGGACCGTACATTGACTTCCATTCATTTTTTTAGACTTTATATCCTAACCCTGACCATTTACCCTAAAATTAACTTCACAGGTACTTGACCCTAAAACTAACCTAAACCTTGGTCCTAAATCTAACCCCCCACCCGTAATTTTCATTTGGGGAGGCTGCTTTTTATGGGAAAAAACGTTGTAGGA